TCAAACTAGCTCCGGTATTAAAGCCGTTAAAGAACAATACAAGGGAATGATTCTGGCGTGTAGTGCCGTGTTACTTCCTGATGTGCCACCGTATCAGTCTCGTATTCACTTGTTTTTAGTTTTTCCCGCTACTGCTGGAAGCGATTGGGAAGGAGAGCGGGAAATCCCTTGATGCAACGCTTGCTAAATCCTTCCCGTCCATACTGATTCGCCAATAATTACAAGAAGAACGACAAGAACACGTTTCTCATGCAGCCTCCTCCGGAGCAAAATCAACTTCCCTTTGTAGGGACCCCTGTGTCAATTCCAAAAAGAGCAATTTGGGAAGTGTTGAGGTGAAATGAAAAGCCACTTCTTCGGAAGTTCCTTCGGTGGACGCTAGTAGCGGGTGAGGTTGTGCTCTTCCACAGTGCTGTCTGTCTAGTCTGTTTACGACAAAACGAGGGCCGGCTGCGTAAAAGGCTAAGGAGCTAGAAAATTCGTCTTCGACTATCTTTTGGCATTGCATTGGTCATAATTCTCATTACTGTTGTAAATCAACTCCAATTTTTATTATTTCAATAACATGGAAAACACATCAATATTTATATTTCCGTTTCCTGGTCATTTTAATTGTTGGCCATTGACATGTTCACGACCAGTGCACCTGGCGTTGCAAAAAACYCTTYCACATCACTGAAACACTTCACATCGCTTTGATCTCTGTTACGCCAAAGAGTTGCGGAAGCTCCCTAACTCTTAAACCTCTCTTTCAAATTATAATTACGATCAATAGAATCTCATGTACCGCTGTAGTTAAGTTATTTATAATGACAAGTTTGAGAGAGTGAATTGCCGCAAGTAGTCTGGTGGTGACACCTTGGGCACTGCCACAACATCTTACCGCCAAACGATCAATGGAAATAATACACAGYAGTTTTCAACAGCCCAATGAGATAATGGTTATTACAATGTAATATGTATTTAATCAAAAAAAGATTTTAAGAGTTTACTTCGTATAATATAGCAACGGACAAACAACGAGGATAAAGTACAGAAGAAAAACACAAATATATTAGGTGAGGAAAAGACTGAGTTGCCGTAAAATGCTGATTTCACGTAATTCAGGTCATATACTTTTAATTTAGCGAAAGAAAGGTAAATATGACACACAGAAGAAGTTTCATAATCAAACGTACATGGGCTTCTGTCTCAACCCAAACTTATTTTCATCGTTTTGCATGGCCGCTTCTCTTGTTCTCAAATTATCAAATCGATGATTTGTACACGTAGCATCTCCTCATGTCCCGGATTATTAGTGCAAAAATCATCTTGATATAACGGAACTTTTATAGCATSAATGAAAATCGATTACAAAGGTGGAAGTTGAGAATTGGAAATTCACAATTTTGACTGAACAAAATTTGAATAGCATGTTTTAACCAGGCTATTGACTGTAACATCAGTTCGTAAAGCAATAAAATACTAAGATAAATTAAAAATACATTAAAAACAAATCACTTGCACGCAAAAAAAATCATATCTCTAATGATAAATGCGTCCAATGAATAGGCTGCTTAAAAGGCCTTTTGTCAGTTGCAAACTCACTTTAAAAACAGTCAATTCCCTTAAGTCTTTTGAACTAATTGTAATTATTCATGTAGTTCAGTATGCCGTCGATGGCCTTTGGATTAAGGCCGAAATATACACTAGTAATATAAAAATGATAAATCTTCTCGTAATCCTTTTCGTATTCAAACTCTATGCCCAAAAGAATATATTTACTTTAAAAACTGCATTTTTTCCCTCAGTGCGAACTTGAAGCTTGAGCATTGTTTGTATTGGGTGTACTAAGGAACTAACAAACTGAAGTGGTTTTGAAACAACCGACCAAAACCCAACAGCGCGCTTAAAAAAATGGCGGGAAAACGCRAGCGCGTCATGTTTTGACGAGTCCGCGGCGTACTACACTTTATAATCGAAGTCATCGTTTGAAGTCCACCTTTCAAGAAGTGGTATTTTTCACGGCTTTTATTCCGTTCTATTTGCAAAACGGTACTTTATCCGGAATCGTTTGAATAATTAACAGTTGATTATAGTGGGTTCTGGTTATATGTGATTATAATAATGTTTTTTTAAAAAGAACTGTGTAACAATTAATGCTATTTTAATCCTATMTAACAGTCAAATGAACACAAATGTAAAATGATTAAAGCAAACGTTCACGGGTTAATAAAAAACACCCACATATTAAAAAGTAAATAAACTAAATCTAGAAATCTTAAATTCAAATATCGACTTAGGAAATAATCAATCTGTAGCTCAATAAATCTTCAAAATCTCGACATAATCTACGGTGTGTGCAATTATCTTGAGACAATCTATTCGCGTACTCAAGTTATATTTTCCTCACCTCCGAATAAGCCTAATCGCGGCGAATCAAAAACAAACACTTCCGTMTTATAAATGATATTCAGTCGCTCCTTATATTTTGATTTCCTTTCGYCTATTCTTTTCGCCTTTTGGATTCATGAAAAGCAACACTAAGAGCTTTCTTCTGAACAAGTGCAAARAAAGAATGAGGCATCCGACTAGGCGGTAACCACTACAAAATACCATAGTTACTAGCTATGAAAATACACAAAATTATTTTTTGAAGCACCTTGATTCAAAACAATGCGAACTTGTATTTGTAYTTTCAGAAATTAAACGGTGCAAAAATGGGTTGTTCACAATCTTTAGAGAGTAATAACACCGATACCACGARGATTCCTTTATCGACTGCACAAAAATACCTAGTGCGTGAGACGTGGGAAACAATTGAGCAGCACAAGAATCGAGTCGGTAAAAAGACGTTTTTGAGGTGAGCATGAACGGGGAGCAGTGCCAATGTGTYAGGAATAAGACGGAACGCGGGCTATTTCTTCCTGTTATATTTTCATTGCTCTGATAATTTTATCGTTTTTGGTTTTCATCATTTGAATGTTCAATTCTCCTCAGCTACCTTTATAGAATATCTCACAAAACTAGTTCATTTGACAGCAGTTACATTTATACAAAGGAATGTTTTATTTCTTCGCAGATTCTTTGACATGAATCCAGATTTTCAGAAGCTTTTTCCAGAATTTKCTAGTCTCAAAAGAGAAGAACTTGAAAAAGCCAACGCTTTACATGGACACGCYAAAAGAGTTATGAAAGCGGTAGAAAATGCAGTCACAGCTATGGATGATGCCGAGAGTTTTACGGCTTACCTCGAAGGACTTGGACAGAGGCATGTGACAAGGTCCCTCAAACCTTCGTACCTCGATGTGAGTTTATTGAGCAGAACATTATGACTCYTGCTATCTTATCTTATCMGGCAGCTGTATGCGCATATGAAAAGATTGATCTACTCGGTGCGATAAGTATTTTAGTATACAAATATTTCATGGATGTGCTGTTTGCAGCTGTTGTCACAAGKTATTTGAAACAATTTTCTGCGCTAGCTCATCCTKAAAAGAACTCTTCAAATTAAATATTTGACTCGCCGGATGTCTCGCCCGTTGTGAAAATTAATTCAAATTGGCGTTCCATAAATACAAGTTGTATGATTAATGAGCTTTTGCTGTYCATAAGTATTGTAGGATTAGAATGATTGTTCCGACTGAAACAGAGACTTTTTTTAGATCAAGACAATTTACGGATTTATCGTATGTTAATAAATCGATCTACGACTGTGGTGCATGTCGGTTGACTATGGCACTTTAATATCCTCACACTCCCAGTAATAGTACACCTACTACATTGGAAAAATAAAAACACCTTTTCGGATTTTGGATATTTGGGAATTTAATTAAGATTTTCCTAAACATTAAATATTAACCTTAATAAACAGTTTTCTCATTAAGGAGTGCATGATTTAATATTCAGAACATACAGTATCCAGGAACTGAAAGCAGTTATACATAAATCTTTCTTCGCTCAGGCCCATGCTCCCTGTCGGTCGTAGCTTTAATTATGCAACTATTTTGAAACCGACGTTTRTTTTAATAAAAGTACATAAAAGTACATTATGTTTCATAGATTATCATCATTATAATCTTTTGACCTATTTTGCATTTCAGGCAATGCAAATAGCACTGATGGACACTCTGAAAGATCTTYTACAGTCGCAATGGACCCAAGAAACATGTAATGCTTGGAACATCTTRTTCAGATATATTGCTGAAACCATGAAGCGCGGGCTTCAGTCGGGCAAAAAATTAAAGTGATATCTATTGAAAACAYATCAAACATGAATAAAGAACATTGATYTTTTGTATAAGAAASAACCGAAACAAGGACTGAATAACTTCTTAATAACGCGTCCTTTCATTGGCCGAGGTGAAGTTTATAGAAGCCGGAAAAATAGAAAACGTTTACCCTGTGCCATGTCAGTCAAGAACTGTTTCGTGTCGTGAAACTAAACTGAAATACTGCTGCATATARTTTAACCATGTATTCAAAATAAAATAGAATATATCCAATAATATATATATTCTTTTAATCATCTTGTTTTATATAATTCTTATATACATAAGAAGAGTTCCTAAAATCGCATCTGAAGTTAGGTGCAAAAGTTTCATTCCCTCGCKGTCAATCAAACCGCAGGAAACCCAAGACGTGAATCTTGTATACAAAAGATGACTAGTACATTATCTTAGATCTTCGCAGATCTCAAGCATTTATAYAAGTACAAAACTAATTATCAGTAAATTGTGAAGAAACCCAAGCGAGACCCCATTTTAAGTTCGTAAGCATAAACTTAAGTGCTTTTGTCCACTGCTCTTCAGAATTGAACTGGATTCTGAAAATGAATTAAGTGTCGAAACATTTTTAGTCCTTTGACGAGGTTTTTAACCTATTTCTACAGTTTTTGCCCACTAGTTATAACACAGCATCGTGATTGCATACAAACAGTGTTTTCAGGAAATGTGGAAAGAAAGAGCTAATGATTGATCCACAATAAAAGCGTTTAATCCCTTTGTTGAAGCGATTGAATTTATAATATTTTAACGTTATMACTTTATAAATTCTTACTTTATTGAAAACGCTCCACCACTTCCACTTGAATCGTATATTTTTCCTTTTTCCATTCTGTTGATTTAAGATGAAAGATGAAACTGCAAAAATCATTTAATACTAGAAACAGTTGCTAGTTCACTAATTACTGCCTTCCTCACAATGGCTGCCATTTCTAGATGATATAAATGGAATCTACCATTGAACACATCCTGCTAACTAGTAATTCAGTTTAAGTAAATCAGCACATTCCCTAGTATTTTCATCATTAATGGAATAAGTGAAACTCATTGAGTAATCGAGTAACAAATTCGCACAAGTAGTGCTGGTTTTATTTGATTTCTGTATGTTTTTTTCCTTTTGTTGTTTCCTCTCCAACCGTTAGAATATTGTATTTGGAGAATTYCATAACTGAACGCGTTTCATATACGTATACATTGAAGCACAAACAACTTTGTCTTTCGAGATTCGTTTTGGTGTTATTCATATGCAAATCACTTCTGTTTCGGTTTTGACCAAGTGCCTTGAAATAGTTGCACAAATTCTTCCGTTTGTTGTAAACTAAAGACATACAATTGCGGAAGCAAACAAAAGTTGCGTTGATTGAAAACGCGCTGTGAAAACTTAACGGAATCATTTCCTAGATTTAGATTAATTTCATAAAATATCAAGACTTCGCATTGTTTGCGTGCTATTTAGTAGTAGTTTGAAAAAAACAAAATGCTTCGCTTCTTTTCCTTCCTTATTTGTGAAAGGCTTATGAAATCTAAACTTCTACTAAAATAAAGTTTGAAACTTCARTGAACAGACAAGATATCAGTCATCAAATAGTTTATTGTGACAGTCCAAGCTATGAAGTCATATCTTACATCAATTGTTGTTAAGCATTTTATGTTGTTACATTTACAGATCTATCCTGTCAAGCAGGTTTTCAAAAAATGTTCGTTTTGTTGACTTAGTTGCGTCGTCGGGTTCTTCTGGATCTTCGACGGCGGGTGGTTCGGCGTCTTCTAGAGACCCTCCTCTTTGCACTCAAGCGGCGGACTCGTCTTGCCCTCCTGGCAACTCTCTTTGGTCTTCTTGTTTTTCTAGCTGATCTGCGCCTTCTGCGAGACTTTGACTTCTTAGATTTTCTTCTTCGCTTGGGCTTGGAAGCCTTTCGTCTCTTTGCAGATCCCTTGCGTCTTCGTCCTCCTGATTTTCTGGCTTTTCTTCCACGTCGTCTCCTAGCTGAGCGTCTTCTTGATTTTGCAGCTGACATGGGAATTTTGAACAGTGCTCCTCTTTTGACAAGTGCTCCAGTTTTCACGGCTCTTGCAATGGCAACTTTAACAGCCGCAGAAGAGGCTCGGATATTGTGAACCTTTAGGTATCTCATGATGGCGGTGTAGCTGGAGCCTTTGCGGCTTCCCAGCGCGGCGACGGCTTTAACAACCACGGCGGTTGTGACTGCACGTCTTCCTGAACCTCGCCTCTTCTTTGCGCTTCTTCGAGCACTTCTTCGTAAACCTTTTCTGGCCATTGTGAAAGATTTGTAGCACTGAGAGAACTAGACGTCTGACTGATTAAGCTGTCTCGGCAACTAATGAAGAACTTAACGAGATAATTGCTTTTAAGTGATTTCAAGTTCCTCTATGACGTCATTAATTTCTCAAATGAGATGCCAATTAAGTCAATTATCTCCATGGAAAAGAATGTTCTAGAACCTTCCATATTGTTACGTCACGATTCCTTCCAATCAATTATCGAAGTTCTTTGTTGCGTCATCAAATTATTCCTGGGACGTCACTCACTTATTAAATTAACGATGTACGCTAAGAATGCCGGGAGAAGTCGTTTCTAGGACATCACGGCCAAGATACTGAAATCGTTTGCAGATCAACAAGGGAACTGGGCCTTTTTCCCGCGCTCGCGCAAATCTAATTTGCCTAATTTAGAATCACCGTAATCCTACTATCTACCACAATATTTCCTTAACAATCTTCAATTTTTCATACCTGTATGGCAAACAGAACCGCTTATCTACTTTCTCAACTGCTTCCTTGAACTGCAAAGCAAAATAAATAAAATAAATAAATAAATAAGACAAAAATTCAAATAAAACTTCTTCCCTCCATTAAACAACAGATCATATAAATGCAGACAATTGAGTTAAACAAAATGACCCGCTATCATTTGGCAAAACAAGTCATGATTAGTCCTTAACAAACCAAAACTTTTTGCATTCGATTTTGTTTTTCTTTTTTCAAGTACGAACCCGGAGWTGAAGTGTTTTCACACATTTCCGGGTACATTTGGTCACGAATCGACGCGACACGCATATCGTGAAAAGAACTGATAACTTTGCGCAGGAAAAACATTTCCACTAAACTAACAAGGCGTTGTGGCGCCAGGAACAAAAACATTAAAAATCGAACAATGGGGAAACGATTTATACGTCAACGAACTCACTAAGAAAATGAAAATCCCAGAATTAATAATCTGCATTCCTACCTGCTGTAGACAATCAAGAAAAGCAACCATAGCATGGTCAAATCTATAGCAAAATGAAACGGTATTAGGAACTTTTTAAGTATATCAATCGATCTATTGTGAATGGGATATCTCGTCTTTTATCCATCCATTTATCTTTTCACTTTTCAATTTCTTTTCCCGAGGTGAACTACAGTGAACCCCTTCCATCCCTAGCCATCCGCTTAATACGTCCTCTCAGTTATAAATGCCAGATATTTATGTCCCTAGTTATAACGACCACCTTGTTAATGCGACCACATATCGGTGGCTGGACAAACGAGGTTCAAATGTAAATACAGAAAGCCAAGAATTATTTAACAGTACTTACTTTGTGTCCCAGAAAAAACGAAATCCTCCTGATCCATATCTAAAAGAAAGATAACAAAACRACACATTATCTTCCTTTGACATTATATCCACATACTGAACCAAACACAATACTTACAATGGTAATTCCTTGGACTTGTCAGAGAGAGATTCCAAGTAAGAATGATTTCCAAATGGAACAAGTCGATACCTGAATATCACAAGCCCATAATGAGAAAAAAATATATTATAGTTCAGCTATTGGTGATTAGAAATGGAAAGGCTGGCTTGGGAGGAAGGGAGGGAAGGAGGGAGGGAGGAGAGAGGAGGGGGGGAGGGAGGAAAAAAGAAAAGAATGAAATGAAAATTTGAAATGAACAACATCAAAGACATAAAAATGAAATGAGGTGTTTTGACTTCAAAGCCACAGTTTTTCTTTATGCACATCAATTTATTTTTCTGTACCTCTCAAAAGTAAGGTTCATTTTACGAGCAAGAGAGTGAAGTAGCAAAACTGTTTGACCCCAAGCTGCATTGATTTCACTCCATTCAACCTACGAGACAAATTCATACACTTGAATGGGTAAATCATTGGTGTGAATATGAATAACAAGTAGGAGCTTCTGTTGGAACTACATTAATTTGCTTGTTGAAACCATTTATAATATCTACATCAAGTCCTTTCTCTTGTTATACAATGATGCAAGAGTTAATTTTTAAGTTAAAAAAGCAGCATAGTCAAGCCACTTTTGGGGAATAGTTATGTCAATAAATACTTACAGGAACACTAGGTAGTCGACCAAGTCTAAAATTGTTGATAGTTCCAAAATGTCCTTTGTGCCTGTAATATCAGATACATGTAGGATGTTTAGAGRAATATCTGCAATTTATTAAATAGAGTTTTTTGTGACAAAACAAAGCTTACCAAATGTGAAAAGTACTGTTAAAGACATTTGTCTTTCTTAGCTTGTCTAGCTGGGCTTGTGCATAGCGTAATTGATTCTCAACACTATGGGAAAAATTTGCAAATTTTAGCATGTTTATAAATGTCCAATATCAACAGCATAATGCTATAGACTTACCTTTGTTGTTCATCTTCAAATTCTAACAATTCTCTTTGTAGTTCACAGTATTCTATATAATAGGCTTTCTCTGCCTCGTCAAGCTCTTTTGATGTTTGCTTTTCTTTCTCCAAAGCTTCAGATACTTTTTTGCGTTCATCTTCCACTTCTTCGAGCTTTACAATCAATTCTTTCTCCTCAATTTCTAGATCAGCAAGCTCCTTGCTGAGTGACTCATCACCTTGCATCAAAAACAATTTAATAGTCATTTAATTCTGCTTATAATAAGGTGCAAAGAAATGATTCAATTGCTCAAACTGAAAGGTGGTTCACCAGTCCTTAAATTAATAACTCAAATTTTGCATAAAGTAAACAATCTAAATAAAATAATTGCTGTTACCTAAAGAGGGAATAATTAGAATGCTATACCTGCAAGATTTTTTTCATTAAGTTTGTGTAAAAACTCTTTATAATCTTTGAGTTCATCTTCAGTGGTTCTTAATTGTTGATCAAGTTGATCGAGCAATGTGTCTGTACATTCTTCACAAAGTGGATGGTCAATGTCTGTTTGTCCTGACATTACATCAAAGAGCTTTGTAGTAACCTTAAATATAGAAAATAATAGRTAAATACAACATGAACCAGTGCAGGGTCAATAACATGTGAAACAATAGRTGTCTTGTAAAGGGGGCCTATTATAGAGGGTTGTCATAATGCAAATCTGCACTTACAAKGTGCACTGACACCRTAGACTGCACTGCAAAATCAGAACATTTGCAAACAAGCAATGTTTCACAACCGTAAACTGAGATCAACACCAAAAAATGCCMTCTAAAATTAGCAGAAACTGTCAGAATACCAACCTATAATACTAAGGCTTTGTATATAATTAAATTTGAAAATTTTCTTCTAGGAGATGTCACTAAATTTCATTCATGTRCTTTGTCCAARTGCATTATAACAGTATATGTCCTTACTTTGAGTTTATGGCTGAAGCTATCTGATGGCATTGCTTGTGTATCTCCAATCARAGTAAACCCATTTCCTTCTACTGAATGCATTCTATACATATCAAAACCAGCCTGATTAATAAGCTGTTCTCATATTAATCCTGTTTTGGGGTACCTGTGTATGCKWWTKKKGRAWSG